CTTTGCCGTGTATGAATTCTATCGTTATCTTTGTCTTTCATGGGTTAAAAGGATTCTCAGGAGTGATAGCAAGAGTTTGAGAGAATTCGGGGAGAGAAGCAGAGAACATACCTTCCAAGCATGGTGTTGGGACGGGCGGTGAAGAGAGAAGGATCCACGACAAACCTAGTGTTGTCCACTACAAGGGTCACTCTGTCCCCCTCATTTGCATATTGACTCACCACATGAGTCGCTGGCACGTTCTCCTCTCCGTTCTTCCCTTTCGACCTGCACATAATCACAAACTGTTTTTAGCCTTCCTTTCCCATACGGACGGTGTACTTTGAACCTGTATGGAAGCAAAGGGCAAAGTGCCAACGAGGCGGGTGGTCCGGGGCCGGGCCACCTGCCGCTGGTCCTGAAAGAACACGGAAGATAGAAGTGGTTGCACTTGGAGGAAAGACAATAAGGGGAAAGGGAAGTTCTGTCATTAGAAAAGGCAAACACTCGGGACCAGCACGGGAAAAGATATTTCCTATTATCTCTGATTTCCTCGCCCAACTCTCCCTCTCCCATCTCTTTGTGTAGTTACCCAAAAGCAAGAGCACACATCCTCCCTCCATCGAGTCTTTCTCATCTTACATAGATCTCTCGAGCTTCGAGCAGAGGACCCTATTTCAAGAAGAATCCCCGTGTTTGCAGGGGTACAGGAGATTCAGTAAATCAAATAAATCCTTGAAGCGTATGAACTGAGAGCATTTCTGAGGGGAAGAAAGAAACGTGCTGAGAGGAAACAAGGGAAAGGAGGAAAGAAGACATCACGAACTGCTGCCAGGGAAAGAGGAAAAGGGATAAGGGAAAAAGGAAAGATGGGCAGTAGAGCATGAAGGACGAAGGAAGAGAAAGAGTCCGACAGACAAGATGTCAGAATGCAAAAGCTCCCTTCCTTTCATGAGATGGAAAGATAAAGCGACGCGAGAGACATCAAGGGAGCACTGACTGGAAGTGGCATGGTCCTCATGACTTCAACACGCTGATGCATCCCAGATATTTTCAACTGGCCTCCAGTCATATTCCATCATGCATTATGGGAAAGATGCTGGAGCCTCACAGTCGGCAGAGGCACGCTCTCGATCCATCAAATCTTCTCTCATTTACTCCCATTACCTCGGAATCATTTCGGGAGGGAATGAAGGGTACACACATCTTGCACAGGGCAGGAAGATCCATCAAAGAGGGAAATCCGGGAGATACAAACGCCGGAAGGCATTCAGATGACTCTTCTCACATAACAGGAACCCATCTCCCTCGTAAATCAAATAAGACAATTGCGCAAAGGGATCCATCCCAAAATCCACTCTGTCTAATTGAAAGATGCCCTTCTCATGCATGTATACCCACTTCAGCTATCGATTATGGATATTAAATTGAACACAAAGGCTGCAACTGCTAACTAGGTCCATCTTACTCTTTGAAATTTGAAAACAATAATTTTCATAACGGAGCGAGACTGTTATGTGTACTACCATTCAAAAGGGTTATGGATTAAGTGGAATAATTGTTATCCTTTTTTCTCTCGCAAGAAATAACACACCTACGTCTGAGATCTGCGCCGCAAAATAGAGAGTTTTGGTTACCCGTTTTTTGAGGACGGAGACACGAACGAATTACTAGGCGTTCAAGTTCTAGATTTTCGAATGGCAGTTTGGCTACTCTTTCCAGATCTGGAACGGAGATTAACATCCACGGATCTCACCACAGATCTGCAAACGACACCTAATTTAAGGGTATGGTCGACTCCGTGATACACAGCTAAGGTACAACCTGGTAAACTCACAAATCCCCAGATATCTAAATGTCATGCATATCCCCCTTGTTTTGATTTACTGCAATTAAATTTTCTTTCCTTAAGAAGGGTTTTCACAATAGGAATGAATGCCTCAGTTTGGCTATTGGACTAACGCTCTTGATTCCTTTGTTCATCATGATCGCAAGTAGACATTGCAATCCTTGGCTAAAACCAGAGTTCCTCTGTCCTACTGTATTTTCAGATCATTAACCATCCCCAATAACATGTTATGCTTCCTTTCTGTCCGTCTCATGGCAAAGTAACCAAAGTTCATGTCCGGGTTGCATCCTACTTCTCTGATGGCGAAAAGGACATGTCAGTTGCTGTCCTGGGGGATATTTGGCTAAAACCCAAGTTATGGATGTGAGACAATTGTCCAGAAACCCATCTTGAGCAAAATTTACATTTCTATCAGTCGGGAAAACCTTCCTGTAGATGCGAGACAATTGTCTAGAAATCCAACCGGGCATACTGTGCCTTGAATTTCAGCTGCTTTGCCATCAATAGCAGCTTTCCTTCCTGGATGACTGACTCGAACGAATCCCGCGTTGTACCGAAGCTCACGCGCCTATCAAGTCGTTCCTGATTGGTGGATCTTGCGTCGCGATCACGTTCCTGAGAGAACGGCTGGAAGAGTTTCTCCACGTCTTAGACGTCTTCCTCACGCGTTTTAAAACTGCTGGTGACGTCACCAGTGACGTCAGCCGTCCTACATCCCTTGCCGTCCTCTCAAGAGCGGGTAACCAAAACTCTCTAATATATGGGGGAGGACGGATCTCAGGGTCTACACACACTCATTCACTCACTCACACTCTCTTCACCGTTCCTTACCGGTCCATTATATAAGCAGGAATCCCCATTTTGATAAGCAAAAGCGTTCTTGGGTCTGAGCTGACAGAAGAGAGAGAAAATGGGGGAAACGGATCTTTCAGAGAATATGGAGAAGGAAGAGGAGGACGGAGGAAAAGGGGGAATAGAGGAAGGAAAGGAAATCGGAAGATCGATCCCGCGAGGTCCAAATGAATCCTGCATGGAAGAAGTGGATACGCTCCAGGAATGTTCAATGAATGTGTCTGCATCTAGAGCCAATCGACGCTTTGCAGACCCATTTCCCCTCATACATCTTGGGATGTCATTCCTCACAGCAGATCCGGAGTATCTACTTCACTTCCGGGGACTCAATATCGGTTGACAGCCTCTCGCCGATAAATGACAGCCTGGTATACCGGTCTGACCAGGGGGCCTAAGGCTGCAGCGGGAATGCCTGAATCACGGGGTACCTTGGTCTTTGTCTTCGCATCCATCTATTCGAGCATCTGTTATCACGTGATTCCCCGAAATCTGAAGCTTGAGGACAAGAGCGGAAGCCGACGATTCCTTGTCCACATCATCATTATCGGGACCATGATCGCAATTAGGGAAAAACGTTTCGTGCTCCCCAGGATTTGGCACCATTTCCGTAACTCATTAGGGCGGACAACAACGATGCGAGGGGCCCAGGCGATTCAGGGCTTCTCCCTCCACCTGTGTCCTCATTACCTCGCACAAATCGATAACCAGAGCGACACACAAGGAGCATAATCTCCAGAAAGGGCGAGGAGCGTGGGGGAGGGGAGGGGGGAGGGGAAGAAAGAGAGAGAGAGAGAAGAAGGGAGAAATCCTGGAATGCAACGAAGAAAGGAAAAGCGAGCGGCGAATGAGACTTGAATTATTCAATCATTCCGCTCTCCCGCCCCTTCTCTTTTCTTTTCGGATCTCAAGGAAATTGGGATTCCGGATATCAGCCCCACAAACTCATGCAGATATCCTTTTCTCCTTCTCCGGGAATGTCTTCGCTGCACTCCTTTCACTCTTTGCTGCTTTGCCTTTTCTTTTTTCATTCACGCTCCAATCTTCTCATTTATTCACGAACGTCAAACACGGGGGATCCATGGATTGAAGGAAAAGTGAATAATTTAAACCAGAAAGAAATTCAGAGCCATTGCAATAATTCATGATCACGTAAAACGAGCCACGGTGATGCCAAGCGATATGCAGAGGAGAGAGTAGCATTTCGGCATGCATAAAACGAAAGATAAGTAAGTGAAAAAGAGGACGTGATCAGCATTTCTAGTTGAGAGCAAAGGGATCCAGACAAGGCAACTTTCTTGCAGCACGATGTCGGGAGGATTCAGGTCCATTATTCGAGGGGCGTTCAAAAAGTTTCTTACATCGCCTATATCTAGCCGCGTTCTGGGGATGGTTAGGTCATGTCTTGACAGGTTGGTAAGTGACTATATAAGCAGCAGCACTATGCGCTTGATTTTCTTCGAGTTCTGACTTGTTAAAGGGAGGTCACTCAGCGTCGACATGGAAAACCTGAAATTCGAGATTCGTGCTAATGTGAAGTTTCTGACAAAGCTCAAGTGGGAAAAGAAGTAGATCCTTGAGGCTGCGCAGAACGTTTATGGTGACTGTGCTCCATCACGAATTACAGTGTGTGACTGGATTCGCCGCTTCAAGGAAGGGAGAGCCTTGAAGACGACCCACGCAGTGGTCGGCTGGCAACCTCAGACACCGATGAAAAAATCAATGCCGTTCAAGTCATGGTGGAAGAAGACCGACGAATCAAGGTGGAGGTGACAGACTCTAGGGATCTCCGCTGGATCGGTGCATTCCATACTGAAGGAGAAGCTGGGTCTGAGCAAGCTTTCTGCACGTTGAGTACCAAAAGCGTAGCGTCCAGATCAGAAGAATCAGAGGGCAGATTGCAGTGTGGATATTTTGAACAAGTTCGACGTTGATCCTGACGCCTTTATGGCTCGAGCTGTAACTGGGGATGAGACCTGGATCTAACTCTATGATCCTGAGACTAAGTTACAGTCGAAGCAGTGGCTTCCAACAGGCGGAAGTGGACCCATCAAGTTCAAAGTTGAGAAGTCGACTACGAAACAAATGGCGACTGTTTTCTGGGATGCAGAAGGGGTGATAATGGTGGACTTCCTCGATGAAGGTAAAGCTGTTACAGGTGTCTACTATGAGCAGGTGCTTCATAATCTTCGTACAGCTGTGCAAGAGAAGAGGCCGGGAAAGTCGTATCAGCGTGTCCTGTTTCACCATGACAATGCGCCTGCACAAAGGAGCAAACTTTCGAGGGTTGCTCTTCGCAAATTTCGCTGGGAATTGCTGGGACTCAATGACTACTCTCAAGTCCACCATCCTCGACTGGCTTGAATCGAAAGTCAAAAGCTTCTACAGAGAAAGCACGGGGAGCTGGAGAGAGAGAATGGAGAAATGTTTCAGCATAGAAGAGGACTACGTTGAGAAATCGGATGCTACCTAGGTTGTAAGTGTGTAATAAATGTGAGATGTAAGAAACTTTTTGAATGCCCCTCGAATATGTGCGACCTCCACGATAATGAAATGTTTTCATCTCTCCAGAGGTTTGCCGCAATTTTCTTTATTCTCATCAACAACGGGGGATTACTTCGCTCTCGTCCCTAAGGGAAGGCGAGTGAGCAAGCGAGCGAGAGCGAGAGAGACGGTATCAGACTCAGGCTATTCTCTATGATTTGACTTCCAGACATGGAAATGCAGGGACACAGAAATACATCAGGGAGAAAAGGAAGCGAGGAAAACCTTGGATCATTTGTCAGGAAATAAGGGGGAAAAGGCACCACACTACCAACACTACGACCACTACGACCACCACCACCACCACCACCACCATCATCATCATCACCATCTACTTTTTCTTCATGACGATGATCCCAAGGGAAGAGGAGCCCCCTTTTGTGGACTAGTCCCACAACCCCTAGAGTAAAGATATATAAGATCTTCCCGATCGACATTCCACCTACGTCCTATGCATATACTGTACATGAGTTTCTACGAGCTTTCTCCAGGAAACACATTCCTAGAATCTGTCGCATCACAATGTTTCCCTCGATCACCACCTTATTTTCGGGAAACGAAGGGAGCTGGGAGCCTGACATGCATATTCCGGTCTTCATTTTCAACCCGTACCAGCCCAGGCGAGAAAATTGAATGACAACCCTTATGGTCGTCTGTGGGACAGTAGGATTTAAAAACTGCTCCTTCAAGAGGTTAAAAAAAAGTGAGAAATCCTCCATCAAAGAATCATCGGATAGTACATACCCGAACCTGGAATTTCAGATACATTGAATCTGAGGTACCCGGCAGAGAAAAAAATGCTTGAGGAGGGAGTTACACCAGATAGGAAAAAAACAAGTATGAGAAGACCTTTGTGTGTCAAGAGAAAAATGGGATCCAAGGCTGCTCCCCCCCCCCCCCCCCCACGTTTTCATCCTTCTTGCCATCATGTACTCGTATATATGACAGGTCCATCGATCTTGCCCGGGTGGCAATATGAAATATTCTGCCAAGCTAGCCATCACCCATTTGCCTCCGAGGAAAAAAAAAGAGAGATGGAAAGAGAAGGAAGAGAAGTGAGAAGAAAAAAAAACGAAAAAAGAGGAAGAACATCTGGTAATACTTGTCCGGGACTTGGGGGGAGAGATGAGATGAGATGAGATGAGAGGCGGCTGGATTCTCATAATGGTTGGTCCCACTTAATAAAACGTCACCACGAAATGAAACTCCCAGGAAAGAGGGGCTCATTCCTCTGAAGCTTGACAAAAAAAAGTCTCCCATCTCTTGTACTGCTCTATTTATCCCACTTCTCTCATTCATTGCCAGGATCATAGAGTAGGCTCAAGAACGAGAGTGACGACAGTACCTGTACTTGTCAATAGTGACACTTTCGCAGAACGAAATTAACGAATTCGTCGTGTTAATGAACTCCGTGAAATGGTTTCTCTTCTTAACTCCGATCGAGCGGAATGAAAGCCATCACCTGAGAGGAGATTCTCCGGCATAGATAATAAAAAAAGTGTGGTCGATCCAGCTTCAATGTGAATGCCAAGGCGTCGCCTCATGAGGCCATAATGGACGAGTTTTTATGCCGAGAACACAATGGGATGGATCAATGACGACGAGCGAAGGAACCACGACCCTACACAGAATGCAGGGGCTACCCTACCCTTCTATATACACTCCCCTTTCTCTTATTTTATAGGAGAACCCAGGTGGCCGGGGCTCCCACGAACCCGAGACTTACGGCACACATTTGAACCACAGCAACATCATAATGTACTGCTTCAGCTAATTTATGGCCCATTTTTTAGGGTAGGATGGGAAAAAGATGGCACACTAGAGGTACTCTTAGACAGTCTTTTTCCATGCTAAAGGCAACAGAGCTATATAGATGAGTCGTATTCCGATAATGGCTTTCCATTTCCTTCACATATTCATAAATCCAAGTCTCCCAGGGAATGGATTCCAGTCACCAGAATGGATTCATGGAAGATGAAACATCATTCACCAAAGAGAAACGACGTTAGGTGCAGCCCAAAATCTTTTCAGCTAGCCTACATGAATAGGAAATTGAAAAAAAAAAAACCTCTTCTAAGTTCCTCGGCTGCCTGTTTCACCGCAGCATGTCGACGGAAATTGCAAATCGAAGACGTATAGGACCGTAAGTCTACATATAATACCTCAGTCTATATAACGCTATCAATATTATATATGGACTATCATGTTCTGGCTTTTTCATTTCTCCTGCCATCTATTCCGAGAAGCAGCAGTCCATTACGAGATAAAAACGAGAAAAAGTAGCGGTGGTCAGACTGAGATGATAGAAGAGGGAGAGCAATTTTCCTCCTCTCTAGTTGTACAGTTCGCTTGCCAGTTCGAGGTCCCGGGTCATTTTTCATCGCCCCGGAATATGATTTCCTCTCCCCATTCCCCATTCTTCCCCCTCTCAGCCTCTGACCTCACCACTTCTTTTCCTTTCCCCATACCCAGGGAAACCTCTACATCGATCGGGAGGCTCTCTTCCTGGTTCCCTCATAACATTCGTGCGGACAGGAGATGAAAGGGGAAGAGAGGAGAGAAAAAAGAAAAGTCATATGACGGAGAAAGAGCTCAAGAAAGTAAGTAGGGAAGGAAGACAGAAGGCTGGAGGACCAGAGAGCTCGATATCAAGTTCGGAGGTAGGCAATCTAATTGTTATGCATATAAAGAGAAAAAAAGAAAACCCCGGTTTGGTATCAACAATGTAGAGGCGCGGGCTTCTTCCTTTCCCAGGGTTAGAGAGAATAGAGAATTTCATCATCTCCTTGCTCTTCTTTTCTTCGGCATTTTTTTTTTATCTCACCCCGGATAGAGGGGCCCAAGAGTTTCTCTTGACCAGTGTCGTGCTCAGAATACTTCCCAAATGAAAAACAGGGAGACATATGTTGTCTCTCTATCCACTTACTCCTAACCCAAAAAAGGAGCATTCAATCTACCTCTTCTTTTCCGTGAGACAGAGGAAAATGAGAAAAGTCCGTGCATGCACGATGTCAGAGAGCATTTCTGCAATCTTTGTCGGAAGGTATAACTAAAAATCACTTATGCCATGTTCTGGATGGAGGGGTATTTTCGGGAGTCGTCAGTGATGGAAATAAAAGAGGCGTGATCGATCAGAGAGGGGGAGGGGATGAAGGTGTGGGCCTGGAATGATGCGAAGGACGCAGAAAAGGCATAAAAGAAAGAATGAAAGAAGGAAGGAGGGAAGGAAGGAAGGAAGGAGGAGGGAAGATTGGGCGAGAGCACGAGATCTCGCCATAATCCTGCTCCCCAGAAATGATAGATGGCATCATCCGTATAGGCGACGTTCCTCCTGAATCACAAATGTCCCTTCCCTTTCTCTGCCCTTGCAGGCATTTCCTCTAGCAGTTTTTCTTCCTACGCCAGAGCGGATTATCCACCCTAGGAAGGAATTGGAAATGAAATCATAGAAGAGACACAAAGAAAAGGCATCCGTGGAAGTATATGAGCTTCTAAAAAACGAGAGAAACGGGGAAGCGGCTCTAAGCTTCTCAATCTGCATGCCTTTCTCTCTCTAGCTGTCTCTCTTCTTCTTTGGCTAAAAGCCAGAATCGCGACTAATGAAATCCCCATGATGCGCAATGCAAGCTGGTCTGCATAAAAGGTAGTACGGTACTGGCATTCGGAGTGTTATTCTCACGGTCTCTCTCCTCTCCTACTCCTACTTCTCCTGAATGGTAGCAGCTGTGATGAGGTCTGCAACAGACTTCACTTGGAAAAGTCGGACAGGATGGTAATCAATATTTGGAAAGTAAGGCGTTGCGTTATGCGATAAATTTCTCGGTAGGTACACCGTGGTGGTATATCGTGTATACCACGGCATTTCAGTGATACCGACGAGGAGCGCGGGGGGGGGGGCTGCAATATCGTCACATCTCACATCCTCACAAGGCATGATGAAGGTATTGGAGTGCTCAGTCAAACCAACACGCATGAACAAACGGGAAAGTCAAGGACCGAGTCGAACCCACCAATGATGGATCTCTATTCATGAGTCAGGATGTCCAGATTAAATACACTCCTGTGACTTCCAGGAGGGCTTCGGTTTTCCCAGGTGGTGGGCGCCTCCGTGGATGGAGATGGGAAGGATAGTTGACCAAGTAATTGCATTATTATTTAGAAATGAATCCTGGCATGGTGCCGTGGCGACCTTATGATTATAGGCGGTGTCCTACGGTTTCCATACCTTGGTGGCGGTATGAACTTGAACGGTATTCAACGGTTTTCAAACCGTGGCGATATTATCGAAAAATGTAGAAGAGGTCAGTATGGATATCGCGGGAAGCGAATACGATGAAAATACCGATATACCGCAACCCCCTATTGGAGAGGATACGGGAGGACAGGATATGGAAGTGGACAGAAATAAGTCAGCTTATCAGTTCAGGGGGGAAATGTTAAGGCATGGCTGGTAGGTTAGAAGAGAAAATGATGAATTTGCCAGAAATTAGTGAATTTCAATTATGAAAAAGAGCATCGATTATTTGTCTAATTTCTCACCGATTCCCCTGTAGTTTAACTTGGTCGTTGGTGGGACTGCTGCCTCCACTTGTACTAGAATGAGAAGAAGCTTGTCTGTGAACGAGGCAGGATTTCGGCTTCGGCATATTTCCGCTGCTCCCAGGATAGCTGAAAAAAAAAGAAATAGAAAAAATAATCTACCTCAGCATGGGATTGCTGGATTAACATAATCAAAAATCCATCGGAACTGCGAGGGTTCCTTGGGAATTTGCTCATCAAGATATTCACAGACTTTCATCTTTCATTTTTTGCCCCAGGAAGCTCCTCGAACTTCTCCATCACATGCACTCAATCAAACTCATTAAAACTATTACCCTCGTCAACGCTGCAGCATGGATTTTAACCCTTTCGTGCATAGAGTTTTTTTAATTATGAACCAGAGTTTCATGATTTCTGTTGTTCTGAAGACAAATATTCAGCTTTTAATGCTTCAGCCATATTTTGACTTTTTTCTTCGAAATAATTGTCATCCTAGCATAAGACATCCATGCATCGGTGGATGTAATGAGTCTCACAAAGTCAGCAGGAAGCGCAAACTATCTGCTTTCGAGTGAGACCGGTATGCAAGAGATGATTAAAGGAGTCGCTACTTTCCAATTACAGAATCCACTCGGATCTATAATTGTGATTTTGATTCGCGTCCATTTTCGCTAACAAAAGCTAGCAGCTGCTCTGAGCGGGAGCCACTTTTTGGAATGAAGATTACCACAAACTTTTTCCTCTTCCTCATACATTACAGGATGCCAGGAAAGTCACTACCTATTTCAAAATGCCTATACGTTTTGATATTTTTGAACTAGAACAACATTTTTGTGCCAAAAAGAAACAGAATTCGATAGGGTTTTAATATTTCATTTATGTTTTATTTTTGCAAAAACCATTAATGGTGCCAAAATCGAATCTTCCACACCGGGCACAAATAGCTGCACGATATAAGGTGTGGCGGTCATCCGCCGTGCTTCAGAGGAGAATGGCTTCCATGCAACTTCCCACCTCCTTCGCCACCACACCTCATACCGTGTCATTATTTGTGCACGGTGCCGAATATTCAATTTTGGCACCATGGAGGGTTACTGCAAACAAACAAATCAATGAAATCATAAAACTCCATCGAATTGTTCTTTCTGGCACAAAAACCGTTGTTCTAGTCCAAAAATTACAAAAGTTATTGGAATTTTAAATTGTAGTGACTTTTCAGACACCCTGTATGTCTTCCGTACTATTAAAAAAATATATTAAATAATTTTTTCTCAAGAAATGCTATAAAAGCAAGTCAAGAACTACATGGAGGAACTTTCTTCAATAGGGTTTAAAGAAAGCCGTCATGAGAATAATCTGGGGGCGAAACGCCGGCGATTTTCATGAGTGGTGGAGACAGAAAACATTGCAACAGCGGAGGTGGAAATGGGGGGAGGGGGGGGCGAAGAAAAGCCTCTCTGAGAGAGAATTCTCTGACGCAAGCATCTAATGGATTCCGGACATAGGACGATCCATCACTGTCTTGCTCTTCCAAGGAGGAGGAGATATAAAAAAAAAGCAGAGCAGGGCAGGACAGGAGGGGGATGGAATCAGGAGGAAGGGAGGGAGTGAGAGAGAAGGGAGAGATAGAGAGAAGGGAGAGATAGAGTGAAGGGAGAGAGAGAGAGAGAGAGAGAAGGGGGAGAGGAGTGGGAAAAGGAGAGGGAGGGAGAGAGGAGAGGAAGAGAGGGGGGGGGGGGAAGCGGGAGAGGGAAAGGAAGTGAGTCATACTACAAGGGCTCACGCTTCAATAGGACAGGGTTGAATCCTCTTGGATTTAGTGTCACCACTCTCCCCACAGTCATAAAACTTTCATTGCCTCCTTTCTTATGGGGTATATCCAGTCTCAGATATCCTTCCTTCTATCACAAATCCTTTTATCCCTCAACATACTGGGTGTCCCGTAAAAACAGATTTTCAATAGCGTTGTTCTTTGGGACGGTGCAGTTTTTTCGTGTGTGTGTGTTTTTTTTTTCTAAATCACAGGTAAAGCTCCAGTTTCTTCTACCATCAATCCTGAATTCAAGGGTGATGCAGGAAGTGTACTAAATACTTGAAACGAAAACGGCTAAAAGTATGTTCACACCAACTGGATAGCAAGCTCTTATGCACCATGCTGACTTCCTGCTAATTCTTCGCATAGACGACATTATGGTGCGCTATGCGGTTGGTGTGAACTTACCTTAATGCCGTGGGGTATTTGTTATAATACATGTTAAGTGCCCTGTGCAGGAGTGAGAAGGAAACTCTATAACCCTCCGATCTTCCACCTCTCCAATACAGAGAGCAGCAGCAAGGAACCTCGTCCAGTAGAAAAATCTTTCACTGAATGATTTCCACTTAATGAATTACTAGCGAGTTTGTTTGCTCTTCGGGCAAACAAACTCGCTATGAACGCGCCTTCGGCGCTCTATGATCAAAGAAAATTACTAATGCATATAAACTATCCATTTTTGAAGATCACCCCTAATGATGCTGTCAAACACCTTGGTTAATGGGCTTGGCAATTCTCGCGCCTTCGGCGCTCGCACCTTAGAAATAAAGTTGTTTCAGAAAATATTCATAGTGACGTAATATGACTTCCAGCATGAGGATCACCAGGCAAAAATTCAGTGTGTCGTTTAGTGTCCCTATAGTGAATTTCATTCCTGCCTATGGTCGACACAGTATTTTTTTGCAAATAAATCTCCAAAAATAAATACAGTGAAAACTCGTTAACTCGAACTTTTAGGGACCGGGCAAATAGGACCAAGCTTTGAACTTTGAGATAAGCGGAATTTCGACTTATCAGGATTCGAGTTAACGAGTTTTCACTGTAGTAGCAGACACATACGCTCATTACTTCAACGTTTTAACGCAATAATTCTGTGTAGACTATGTTGACAGTATGGGGAGTTTTTATCGTTATATTCATATCTACATTTGAGCACAGGGACTCTAATGAAGTCCCTTTTTCAAACTCTTCCTAAAGCCACACACGGTTGTCCATTAGAAAATACGTCATTCCGTAAATGCAGCACATAGCTATTCATGCTTCCGTTTCGTTGAAGGAAGTGTGTACATAGAAATGGCATTGGCCTAAGCATCCATAAGTGGATTAGGCATAAGCACAATAAATCGCAATGTCTGAGGAAAGTCTTCCAACCCGTTTCCCTGATAGAAAAACATGTGTAACACATTCGCACCCGCAAGCGTACCGGTACGCAACAACCAGTGTCCTTCCACTTAGTCTATGACCTAGAAAAGCATAGGACAAAAGGCTTCGCGCCTCAGGCTAAGGCAGCAGGATTCTTGGTCAGATAGGCCGAAAAGTTCCTGGATGCAAATGGTTCAAGATTGGTGTAGGCCTGAGCGTCTGTCTGATGGTTAGACAAAGGCCCCTGCTAAATCAGTCCCTTCAGGGCACATGCCTTCAAAGTCGAACTTTACCTGTAGTACGCAATCCAACAGCTATTTGGTTTCCTTCCAGCTTCCTTCAAGGAAGAAAGTGTATGAGAGTGGTATTAGCCTAAGCGTCCAGCCCATTTGTGGGTTAGGCCCAGGGAAATCAGTCCCCCTCGAAATGTGCCCCCAGGGCATGTACCTCCAAAGTTGGAAGTTTTCTGCAGTCAGCAATCAAACAGCTATATATTCTTGCCAAAGAAAGCAGCTCACCTTACGGCTAGGGTTTAACATAACTTCTTGGTATTAAAACGGATTTAAAAAAAAAAGAAGAAAATCCCTATGAAAACTGTTCCTATTCGCGAGACAGCCAGAAATTTCTCTCTGCTTTAGATCTTTAAATAAGGGCTGCGGCGTAGCCCCGAGCCATTTGCAAATATGACTTCAGAGGGAAATCCTATTTAGCCCCTACGTCGCCTTGTTCGGGTTGAATCACATTTTGAACCGTGGAAAGAATGCGAGGTCAATCTGTACTCTATCTCATCGTGTGTTCTTGGTTTTGTTTCCCCCCCCCCCCCCTGAAGACAGACACGATTAGCTGAAGGAAACGCATGTGTGGACTGGACATGAATGGATTAGGGCAATGGGTTGTGACAGGGACCATTTCCCACTCCATTTGTCTTACGGACTTCCATCCATCCTCGGGAGACTAGGGTTCCTTTTTTTTATTTTTTACCGTTAGGCGTACTCAGAAATCCAATAGTGACGGTTGGAGCAGGGGCAGTGATACCGATACTCCATCCACTCGAGTCCCCCTCGTCAAAGATATTGGACAAGTTATTTCCCTCCTTCACTCGCAGATATGGGGAAACGTCAACCTGTCAACAGCCTCTCCTCCAGTCATCAGTATGCTCATTAGTGCAGGAGGATGTGCTGTCTCACTTAATGAGTCCTACCTCATCATTACCCTATAACGTAATGAGATTTTTTCAAAGGGCCAGATACGACGAACGAAATGCGGAAATATCGTCATATTTTGTCCAAGATGGAATGGATACGTCTCATTCGAACTAATGGCCTTTGCATCGACTACCACATGTTTTCTTTAATCATGAGTCCATAGGTAGGCAATTTCGCGGGTAGATTCTAAACTAAAAATAAACCATGGAGATCCAGATTTAGGTTAGAATCTACCATAAAACTTTTCCTGCTCTATCTAAAATGTCGTGGTCTTCGCATCAATTCGCGCGAAGGAAGATGGGATTAGATAAGGGAAATGCGGAATTACCTTTCTTGACAGCTACATACGAAGAACGCATGCTGAGTTAAATACAGACTGCATGACATGACATGAATGCTATATGTATATGCATACGAAGAGGGCACTAACTGTTCATTATTCAGCATTAGCGTCAAGGATGGAAGGCCACACGCAAGAATGAGGAAGTTTACTGGGCCAAGGGACGAGTTAATTATACCGTCATTCATTTTAAGGTCGCATTATCTCTTTTCTCAGGACGGGGACACAACTGCAAGAGGAAAAGCTACGAAAATGTCTTTGATAAGAACGAGGAATGCGCTATTCAATGTACCTGCCACAAAATAAAGGAGCACAACTGTCTCACATCGATTCCGCTAACAAACGCGATACTACATATACTGTACCCTAGTCATCCATCAAAGTAGCCATCCCGTGTTCCATGTAGTGAGGACACGCGAGGAAAAGGCAAAGCACGACGAAAAAGGGAGGGGGATCATGGAGAAGAACCCTCTCAGTGACGCGATAGGTACGGTCGCAGACTTGTCAAGCAATGTAGGAGGCTCTACCCTTCTAAAGACATTCAATTTACGGCATTGCTGCTCACTCGGAAGAAAAAAGGAGAAGGAGAAGGAGGGGAGGGGGAGGTGGGCGAGGGCGAGGGCGAGGGGGGAGGGATGAGGAGGGGGGAGGGGGGAGAGAGGAGAGAGGAGAGAGGAGAGAGGAGAGAGGAGAGAGGAGAGAGAGAGAGAGAGAGAGGAAACAAGGGAATGAATCGATACTCAACTGTCGCCTTCTCCAACTCACTTCCTTTTCCCTCCTAGTGCTGAAGCTGCACAAAAGGGTAAAAAAAATCATTTCGGGGCTTCTCTTGAGCTCTCATCCTTTTCTGATTCCCAAAGTCGCCCTATTTATTGCCCACAGGTCTCCCAGTGGCGAAAGCTTAGTTAAAAGACAGCAAGTGAAGAGACGGTATTGCACGGTGATAGACCCTGTGGGGTCATACGACAGGTCTGGCTGTTGAAGAGTCCTTCAAATGGGTGCTTAACTTCAATGCTTCATGCATTCTTGAGCTTCTTTTATACTAGTGCTCGAGCTGCGCGCAAGTCACGAAATGTCGCATGGCCAAACACTTCAACCAGAAGCGAAAGACAATCCCTCTACTTCACGCGAAGTTACATGAGGGCGTGCATCGAAGGCCAATCCTGATACTCCTACCTTGAGGATCTTCAAGGAAGAGAAATTGAAATTTTCATGTATGGAATGCCTCGCTCACCAACAAACTTGAAAGAAGCATGATGTTTCGATGACCTGAAACAATATTCCGTGGACTTGCATAGATCCCAAGCGTATCCCCAACTCTTCCATCCATGACTGGTAGAATCACACTAGTGAGCAATATCCTAAGGTGACTGATAATGGCGTAGATGACGGTGTGACTTCAAACGCTATAGTAGCACCATCTAACATTGGTCGCTTTGATACCAGAAGCCTAAATAACTTGGGGAAAAAAATTCCTCTAAGAGACGATAAGAAATCGGCGCTCAAAGAGGCAATCCAGGTTCTTGAGCAATCCCTCTCCACGATCCTTCACGTGGGTAACAAGTAGTGCACCAGAGGGGAGAGCACGATGAAGAAAATGACGGCCACGCACATCAAAGAAACGACCAGGTTGTTCATCGTCCCGCGAGGGCAGCAAGGGCAGCAATTGACATCCTCGAAGCACGTACACAGCCCAGGTTCCGGTTCTGCGCGCTTGTTTTCCCCGTCTCCGTACGAGTAACGGCTGGGCCGCTGGAGGCCACCCCCCGACGCATGAAATCCGACGTGAGGTAGGCCTACCATCCCTACCCCGAGCCCCATGGTGTTGAGTCCAGGTAAATCCGATGACGGCGTGATTGAAGTCCCAGCTAAAGACTGAGGGGTCCTGAGGGAGGGCGCCGGAGATACGGGGAGGCGGCTGGGACGGCTTGCCATGGAGGCGGATCGCACGAGTCCTGGTGAGGTCCCTGCACTGATGCTCCCTGAGGCACGCATCTGATGATACGGGTGATAGTGTTGGTGAGGATGGGCATGGAGATGTACTGGTGAACGATGAGACACATGTGGTGAATGGGAATGAGACCTCGGCGGGATCCCGCGCGTGGAATTGCTCGCGTACATCGG